TTGTTGTAACTACAAATAAGCACTTCCGTTGAAGAATAACTTTTTTTTCATGCGTATTTGCCTCTTTGGGTTATTTGTTTGCTTTGTTATCTTCTTTTCTTTGGCTTCTTTCACTTACGTACTTTTCTTTCCAAAATTGATAAGCATTGTAATGTTTTCGGGTATGCTGGTTGTATTGTACGTACTATGTAGCAGGGTACGGTGACTTTGAGGTGGGAGATTGCAGCGAACTTTTAATGATTGACAATCAGTTTAAGTAATTACATAAGACAAACTTCATAATATTACGGCGCACATAATTGATGTTGTAATAATATTTATATAACAGTTGAAAATCTGGTTTTCAAGAGAAGTACGGAAAGAGGTTGGTGTGAAAATGCGCTGCGGAGAGATGTGCCGTATGTGTAGTATTTATGTATGTATGTACTTCAATTCGTTAGAAGCTCGGAGACTAGAGAGTGATTAACTAGTAGAAGGCTGTAGACCAAGCTTCAGGCTCATGAAACCCCACACTCCCTACAAGCAGGAATTGTTTTACGGAGATTCCTGAAGAGTTTTCCATAGCGCATCTTCAAAGCTTTCTCTAAGGGAACCATATTTGCTGTTCAGCAGCTACACTGATGACAAGATCCGAACAAGAGAAGAAGAGATCTAAACGTAAACTCCGCAGTCAGTGAACCGGACGTTGCACATACATATAGACGTGCTACCAATGACAATCGCCACCTTCATGGACCGACGTCCTGTGAATACCGTAACCTCAGTTCACTCATTCATTCCAGCTGTCTCTATTTAAAATTCCTGGTTGGTTTAAACTTCTAAATTACTGAACTGATTTCTATGACTGGCTTTTCAAAATATCACATTCGAGCTGCATAAGGACATAGGACTTTTTTAATGAAGTTTTTGTAGTAAATATTTGTTAGCTAAATATAAAATAGTTTACAAAGATTTGCAATAATATTGTTGAGGAAAATAAAATTTTAAAATAATTTGTTCGCGATATAGTCCCAAACTACTGGGCCGATTTCATTGACTGACTTGACTTTTCAAAACATCACATTTGAGCTTTAGAAGGGCATAGGGAGGTTCGCTTCATGTAAGTTTTATACAAAAAATTTATACTCAAAGTGCGAACTCTTCATTCGGGAAAAACTAGAAAACTACTATGAAGATTTTTATAATTTTTATTTGAAAACATCGCAGTTAATTTGCGTAGGGTAATTGTTCAGGATATATATTCTTATTAAAATATATTTGAGCCAAACATAACGACCTTTTAACATTGACGCGACGGAGCTCCATCTGCCTCGGGAGACCAGAACAACAATAGCCCAACTTCGCTCTGGCTACTGCAGCAGGCTAAATTCCTACCTGAGTTGGTTAAATGCGGATGTGCCGAACGAATGTCCGGCATGCGGAGAGACCCCTCACGACTCGAAACATCTCTTTGCATGCCCGGAAAGCCCCACAACCCTAACGGCGTCGTCCCTATGGACCGACCCCATAGAGGCTGCACGCCTCTTGGGGCTGCCGTTAGTGGAACTTGACGACAACGACTGAGATATTAGCCTATCTGGGCGGGGTTGTTGTAGCCGCTACAATAACAACACAACCTTTTAACATTTTATCTTAAAAATTTTATCAAATTGAAATGCGATTTCTTTTTTCGAGATAAACTAACAAATTACTGGTCGGATTACTATGACTCACTTTTCAAAACATCATTAATGGTTTTTTTTTAATTTTTTTATTTCTGTATAAAGTTTATTTATAATTTTTTCTCTTTACAGTTTAATCACTCACCATTTGAATTGCAAGATTCCTAAAACTGCATTTTTTCAGCGGAATATCAACTAAAAAGCACAAAAACAGCGAAAATTTCACTCGACATAAAAAATTTATTTTGCAAATCACTAGCAAAAATATTGCTATAAGTAATGAAAGTAAGAAAAGAAAATTCATATACCAAACTAATAAATATCGTGATTGTGTAAAAAAGCGACTAAGAGTGACCAACACAAAAATCAAGTTACAGCGTCTTCAAAAAAAGGAAAAAAAAATGCTGTGAGACATATAAAATTAGAAAATATATGCCTGCACATAACTAACTACAACTCATTGAATTCGCCGTGAAACTAGTAACACGCAGAAAAGGAGAAACCTGTCACTCGATGACGATAACGGCAAACGGCGCACGACAGCCTCATTAACATACCGGATTTCTACCGAAAATAGAAGGTCGCACAAGGCAGCGAAAATATAGTTGAAAAAAAAACCACGAAACAAAAAAAAAGTTTGTGAGATTAAATTTCAGAAATACTACACAGAAATTTACAGCCAATAAGTTTCACTTTCTTTTGGCTAAATAGCAGCTTGGCTTTAATTGCAAAAGAAACACAAACTCGTTTCCAATTCCTTTGAGTCAAAAGGTGATCGCATCAGTCAACAGCAGCACCGGCATACATATAAACAACGTACATAATTAATTTGTGTTTGTTTTACGGTAAGTTCGCTAATTGCTGCTTTGATTTTTGTATGTTTAATAAATATTTTTTTTCTCTTAACTCTCCTCAACTTGAATCTTAAATCATCTTAAATATAATTAATATTGGTGTCTTCCTTACGCTGCAGTGCATTAATTAATCAAAATGCAGTAAGAGTTGAGCCCAAAAGCGTGGCAAATGGTTGAACAAATTACTTAATACTCTTCGGTATATAAATAAATATTTGTTATTAAGAAAATGCGAAACTGGTTCAACAGCCACGAAAAAGCCATTTAATGTCTTTGATGTGCGTAATGATTTCGGTGGTATTTTGTTAAAAGAACTTATCTAGAGGTAGGGCCTTTTTCTCTTTAATGCAATATTTCTTTGGATTGTCAAAAAATATTTAAAAAAATAACTAACTAGCAATTTAGTTTAAAATGCTCTTTTAATATAAGTTTCATAAAAATTTACGACTTTTCAAGGGGAACTTATTATTTTTAATTAAAATTCAAACCTTTTTAAGTCACTTAAGTTGTTTTAACAAAATGCACATATTTATTTATGTAAGTTGTATGTAATGTTTTTTTTTTATTTTATTTTATTTACTTTCTTTCACGCTCCCACTTTTCACTCTCTTTTCTACTTTTTCTGCTTCTGCTGCTAGTCCGCAAACTATGCGTCCGTGTTTTGATTTAATTTTTCTCATGCGTCTTCTTGCCAGCGGTCACCCATCTGCGTACATATTTAACCTAGTATGCAGTTACGTACTTTACTTGACGTAGTCAGCTGTTGCTTCAATTGAAAC